TTAAAGAAAGTTAGATTTGTACCCTACAAAATTAAATACCTTGGGAATATATTGACAGAAAAATATCTTCAAACATTATACCATGCACTCATTGAGCCTCATCTCACATATGGTATATTAGCATGGGGAGCTGCATGTTCCTCACATATCTATAATTTAGATGTTTTTCAAAAAAGTATTCTAAAAATGATATTTAAAAAACCGAAACTTTATCCCACTGAAAAATTATATGCAGATGTTCGAATGTATGATATAAGACAGCTTTATTTCTTACACAGTATCACTCACTACCATAAATTTGTAAACACCGACCAAAAAATTAAACATAATCATTATACCAGATACAAAATTCGTGGCACAGTAATTCCTCAACCGCATAAATCTATAATGCAGCGATCATATCTCTATTTAGCGCCTAAATTTTATGAAATTATACCTAAAGACTTAAAAGATTTACGTTTCGGAAATTGTTTCAAAAGAAATTTAAAAAAGTGGCTACATTCTATATCTAGGACTGAAATTCATAAACTCATAAATACGAACATCAACTAAATACATAATCTACTGTAGCTAATTTTTGTCCTTTTTTGTCATTTGCATTCTACAGTTTCAACTTAAATTATTGGTCCATGTACAGGCGATGCCTTCTATTGGGCCTGTTTTGATTTTATATTTATTTACTCATATTGTTTGTTATCTTTGTACATTGAGTAAATAAATATTATTATTATTATTATTATTATTATTATTATTATTATAATCTCCTTTCCAACAACATAACGCTATACGCTATCAAAGTAGCGTCTTAGCCACTTACTTTAAATCAGCTATAAAATTACAGTGCTTGCTCAAATTATTTACCGAAATAATATTCTAATCGTTTCTTTTTTAGGTTTTGGTGTGGGATCTGTAATATACTCATCCCTACAGTTTGGTCAGTATTGGGAGCTTTCAGCAGATGACGAATGCGACAATTGGATGAACGCTTTCAAGCCCCTGATGAGGATTATTTTCGTCCTGCTGCAAATGTTATTTATTTTTTCTCACAGCAACGTAAGTTTAATTGGAATTGGGAAAATTTACATCTAAAAGTTCTCTGGAACATTTAGCAACAATTTGCTCCAAATAGATTGGTTTGTCACTAAATGGGCGCTGTCTATTGTCACATAATCATCTTGTATTTGGTGTGTACATGTTTACTCTTTTAGAAAAGGAGAAAATGGCACCGCCATATCCTTATAGGTATATATTTTCTATAGTTATTTTTACGAGGAACCCCTTGAAAAAGTGATATGTTTAGAAATAACTAGTAGTAAAAAATAAAAATAATGCTGAACAAAAATGGTCCCTAGAAAGTTTCTTTCACTGTTCTGGTCATTTGGTCATATTTAAGCCACTGGAATATAGGTTAACAGTTATATTTGAGTTCGTCACGTGTCATATTCTATCTTAACAGTATGGTCCCAGGCCTAGATCTTTGGCTCAAAGAGAGAGCCCCCAGATGCACAAAAATAAAAATGTCTGAGTACCCCAATGCTTTTTAATTTTTTCCAACGGTAAATTGTGGCTCCGACCTGTTAGAGTGGGGGGGGAATTACCAAATGTAAATCAAAATGTCTGAGTCATCCTCCCCGCTCCTCAAGTTTCCGCAACACCAAAGTAGGGCCAGCCCGATACAAGATTCGCGGCTTGACGGGAGGCCCCCAACTGCGCACAAGAATAAAAATAAATGAGCACCCCCCGCACGTGAATTTGCTCACCCAGGCCCAGGACCTGGCTTGATGCGCAAAAAAAGTATCCCCCATTTTTCAATATTCCTCAACGGCAAATAGAGCGCCGGATTTCGCTATGACCAGAGATCTCTTCAGCCGCAGGCTCTCAGATTGCTTACGGCTCGGGGTGCAATCATCATATAATATCTCTTTTGCAGTCACTGGGATGATGCAGTGGATTTGCAGTCATCAGTATCCTCTCTCAATCACAGCATGTTGCTCGAATATGTGTGGTGCCGTGCAGACTACCCACTACACACTACACAAAAATTTTCAGTTTCCAAAATTCTCAAATTTTTCAAAGCTTTCGCGATTTCCAAAATTGTTAAAATTTCAAAAATTTCGATTTTCGAAATTTCTGGAATTTTCAAATATATCAAATACCTTCAACATTTCCAAAATTGTCAAAAAGCTTGAATTTTTCGGATTTATCAAAATTTTCAATATCTTAAGAATCTACAAATTCTTAAGAATTTACAGCTTACGTATTTCTAAAATATTCAATGTTTTACAAATTCTTAAATTGATTGGGATGATCCCTACTGAGCGTGGCCGTGGCAAATGCTTGTTCCGGAAGTTGTTGTATCCAGTATACTCCTATAGTACAACTTCTTCCCGTTCAAGTGATTGCGGTAAGGAATACCTCAGTACCGATTGCCGGGTGGCGGTACAAGTCCGCCAACGGGCCACTTTAGGTCTATTTAATATCATTAACACGCAAAAAGGTGTTGGTAGACAAGGACTAGTCAACCGAGGCGATACCACCAGCTAGCTTTTCCCAGGGTGTCTGATAAGTGTCCGCATGTTTCCACACCTAAGCTATGCTTAGCTATTTAAAAACAAGGAAATGGATGGATGGATGACGATGGATCCCTCGAGCACTAAGAATTCCGGACGTAAGCTCACTCGACTCTCGGAATATCCGGGTGGAGGGTGGGCTCGAGGGAACAACATCGAAGATAAAATTTGTTTTACACAGCATCTGCGAGATTAACAGTAACATTGATGCTGTTCATCACTACCTGCAATCCAATCGTCCCGCCATGCTTGGCAGAGACAAAAATCTCAGAGTCTGCACCGATTAACCATCTAAACTTTCCAAATTACGAGGTGCACTCCAATCTGAGAAAGAACGGGGCATTTGTGGCTTTTATCCGCAGCAGTCTTTCCTGATCCAGAGATGTTTCTTTAGAATCAGACGGGAAGAGCATTCTGTGGCTTCGCTTCAACTCGAAAACATCACCCAAATTTATTGGCTTCCTTTATCGCTCTCCACCGGACCATAACTGGGATGAACTACTTGAATACCTAGCCGTCAACATCGACACCCCGCTTCATAGGTAGTTCTTCTCGGTAATTTCAATGCCCATAATGACCTTTTTTTGGGCTCAAACAAGACCGCTGCAGCAGGTCGTGCAGTCGAAGCGTTCGGTCTTACTCAAGGGCTGACCCAGCTGTTGACGAGCTCTACTTTTTTCCCTCGCGTCTCGTCACATGCCAGTGGTCTGCTGGATTTCTTTCTGACCACGCATCCTGTCCCTTACAGAACTGCTGTCCTGCCCACCTTTGGTAACTCAGACCACGGTTTCGGTCAGAAGCCGCTGGGGCAGCAGAAACTCGCACAGGCCGCAAAACTTGGCATCGTGAGGCACTGCTCGCTAGCGGAAGATCAAGGCACACAGGATCTTCTTACAAAACAGGGAACAAACAAGCCGACGTCTAGTCTAGAAGCAAATATAACGAAGCGGTTCGCAATGCCAAAACCGGCACGATATTAAAGTTAGGCACAGGGTAATGTCGCAGCGCAATTGTAGTCGGTCTTTCTGGACGCTGGCCAAGCAGATTGAAAAGAACTTCTCACACAGTAGCCTTCCACCACTTACGTGTCAGGATGGAACTATTGTATTAGACTCAAAGGCCAAGACGAAAGTGCTAGCCAAGATCTTTGCTGCCAACTCCGCCCAATGCCCAAGCGTCATCAATTCAAAGGGTTCCCTACCCTATGAGGGAGGTTACATTAAGGCATAAGACCGTAAGACGAGTGCTTTTGTCGCTCGACTTCAACAAAGCTTCTGGTCCGGACTTGATTCCTGCCATTGTACTGAAGAGGTGTGCAGCGAAGCTTGCTCCAGTTCTTTCGCGTCTCTTCCAGATATCTTATGATACCGGCACCTTCCCAGAAAACTGGAAATTTGCTCATGTCCAACCCATCCCAAAAATAGAATCTTACAACTACAGGCCTATACCTCCGCTTTCTGTTATAAGTAAGGTGATGGAGAGGCGCATAAATCGCGAGCTTCTGGGCTACCTCGAACGTCACAGCTTGATTAGCGACAGGCAGTATGGTTTCCGGCAACAACGATCGACAGAGGACCTCCTAGCTTATGTCAGGCAATTGTGGAGTTAACTCATCCAGTCTTATGGTGAGGCTCATGTCGTTGTTCCTGACATCACGAAAGCGTTCGATCAGCTGTGGCACGCTGCCGTCTTAAGCAAACTTACATCCTATGGCCTCCCAGAAAAGCTTTGCAGATGAGTGGCTGACTTTATCTCTGGCCGCAAGATATCCGTCATAATTTACGGGTTCTCCTCTTCATCCCACAACGTCAACGCGGGTGTTTCCCAGGGATCGTTCTTGGCTCCAAAACTGATGCTCATACATATCAATGACCTCCTTTCCTGCACGATCAACTCAATGGATAGCTTCGCTGATGACAGCACTCTACATGCAGGAATTCAGAGTGACAAGCCGATCTCTGCCGCTGAGCTGGAAAAAAGAATACTAGCGACAACTTCCTCTCTGACAAAAGACCAGGAGGCAATTACAGCTTGGGGACGCAACAATCTTGTACAGTTTATTGATACCAAAACACAGTACTGCCAGACAGACCCGCTTGACTTTGGCGTCCCATCCTAACCGTGTCGAATTTCGTACATCCAGAACTGGCCGATACGGCCGCTCCTTTCTCCCAAGGGTGTCGAGATTGTGGAACAAGCTACAAGGGAAAGCTTTTCCTAGTTCGACTAACCTCAGGCAGTTCAAAAATCGTATTAACAAAATCTCTTTGGGATCAACATAACAGCTGCGGTGTTCCCACCTTTAGGCTTCTGCCTACCTGTCTGCTACGATATTAAAAAAAAACTCATTTGATATAAACATTTTTGAACAAGCTCTTCGTGTTAATTTTGGATGTTGAAATATTGCCGCTATATTTTAAGTGCCCTGCATATGTCTATATTTCTTTTAGTTCCTGGATGTCCAAAAGAGCAAGGTGATAGCCAAATTTGGCCTGATGCACATGATAGCAACCAATATGGCGGAGTGGTTCCTGGTCCTCGTCGAGGAAACCAGGCAAGATATCTATATGTCGACAAAACTGCAGGCCACCTGTCTCAAACCAAACATCTCCAGATCTAGCAACGAGCAATTCATTGGTTCAAAAACTTTCCAGATAACGCATAATCTGTACGACCATAAGCTGAAGTGTCTCAAGTCCGACATCATGCAAACGATTCTCTTCAAAGCAGAACCTTATTTGGCGCCATGCACTGTGGAGTACAATTTGCTGTCTGTTGTAATTTTGTTACTCATGTGGAAAAATAATTGCAGCAATCATAACTCAGGTCAGTTGAAATGTAATACCTAAATTAAAAAAAAAGCACAATAATGCAAGTTCATGTCACACGTACATGCATAGTTAATATTCTTGCGTCTAACTACAAGTAGAAGCTTTCGATCAGCTCTGGCATGCTATATTCTTATAAATACAATCGTCCAACTCATGCCCTTCCAGAAAAGCTTTGCAGGTGGGTGCCTAACTTAATTTGTGGTCATAAGTTATCTGTAGTACAGTATATTCAGATAAGAGATAGACCGGACATAAACAAGACCACGTGATCATCGAACGCTGTAACATTCGGCAGGGACGTATTAAGAGTCACGCAGTACATATTTTAGATAGTAGATGCTGCTTTGCGTAACTTTGTAGTAAATTAGCACAATTCGATGTGTATACGATTGGTGATGGATATAGGATCATGTGGGGGTGGGGTAAGAAATATATAATGATGTAAATATACATAAGGGTTTCAAAATTTTCACTTCGATTTCCAGCTTCGGATGCCGCCTGATGTTTGGTGAAATACAGTCGAATATAATCTCAAAATGGCGTTTAAATTAGCCTAAATTAAAAATAATCGTATATCTCTTAAAATTGCTTTTAAATATGTAACCAAATTAAAACGTTCAAAACGTAAAAAAATGTGCATGGTTGAACATTGTCAGAAAATAGATTCTTGAATAGGTTTTGCCAAAATGGGTTCAAAAATGACAATAATTAATTAAAAAATACAGTAGCTTTATAATTACTTATAACTTACCGAATTTGATGAACGACATCTTTTATTGGAAAGATGAGCTTGATGAGCTTTCATCATCGCTACTGCCTGAAGCACCAACGTCAATAATGAATGGCTCGACTTGTTCCTCTAAAATATTGTCCAGTTCCCACATTCTCTTTTCAACTTTGTCTTTCACGTGCTTAATACAGTTTTTACATATATACATTTTTGCGCTGTTATTAATTCTAGTGCTTCTTTGAAAAGTCCTTTGAGGTCACAAAATTTAAAAGTTGTATTGTGCTTAGCTATATAATTTTTAACATCTGCCCATATGAGCTCAATGGGATTGAGCTCGCAATGGTATGGAGGTAAACGGAGCACAGTTTTATTTTGACTTGCTGCCATTTCGTCAATGGCGTATTTTTGATATTCCGCCTTGTGATCCTTGACAATTCTTAATAATTGTACTTTCAGCATTGCTTCTTCAAAGTTGATATTTTTCGAGCGGAGCCAATTTTGAACATCAACTTTCCTTGAAGCCGTTGTTGGGACCTTCTCCATTCTTCGAGAATGATAAGGCGCATTATCCAACACAATTACTGCGTTTTCCTCTAAGTTCGGTAAAATTTTTGAAAACCACTGTTCAAACGATTCGCCATTCATTTCCTCGTGGTAATCTCCAGTTTTCTTAGACTCAAAGCACCACAGACCGTCAACAACAAATCCATCCTCACTGCCAATATGGCAGATAATGAGCCTTTTCCCTTTACCTGGAAATCGAAGTACTAACTGGTGTAGATTTATTTCAATAAGCGAACCTTTTTCAAATGTTTTCATCACATTCAGCGAAAAAACATTGAGACATGAGTATCAGATTGCTATAATTGGGATTATTTAGTCATATTGAAAGAAAGAATATTGAACGTCGTATGATTACTCAGCGTTTCACAATTTAATTTAAAGTTATAAATCTTTAAAAAATGAATGATCAGGAACCTGAAATACGCGCAAATATTAATATTAACAAATTATAACTTTATAAAGCTTAAAGTATGAATTAAAATGATTAGAAATATTAGGAACGGTACACAATATAAAACTTAGTAACTTTTCTTAAGTTTATAATATTCGACATATTTTAAGATTATATTAAAAAATTATTGAAATATCGAAAACACATAAAAACATGGCTTAAAAAAGTTCTAACAAATGAAAATGACAATAAAACATCCACGCATTTTATCGAAAGTTAGAAAAGTTTTGTTACTTGTACTATGTTTTATCTGCCCCCTGGAATTAATGCTTAGAACCTTGTTCCCAAGGTTTGAAAAACATCCGATTGTTGTCTATTACTCGTATTTACCTGCTGGATTTTTTAATCCGGTGGACAGTCCATCTAGAAAGGCCCTCCTGGATGAGGTTACAGAATCATCAACCCATACTTTACTTGTAGTGTGTCCTGCGTTTACCCCCGTTTCATCAAGGTAATAAATCTTCCTGTTTTGATTTCTATATTTCCCAATTTTTGTTAAATAATCCCTCCTCCATAGCACAATTTGTTCTCTATCCAGTAGTAAACTATTACGACCCCGTTTTTTCCATTTGAAATTTAAATGCTTCAGTAACGCATGGAAAGTTGATCGTTTGAAATTTGGCAACGTTGTATCTCCATTTACCTCCTGCAGTACTTTATCTATAGTAGGTATTTCATTCCTAAAGAAGAATTCATTCACTTTCCTCCTAATCGCATGCTTATCAGCTTCATCCAATGATTTAACAATACTTTTGCGATGTTTACTGGTCATTGGCTCAGAAAAGGTGTGATTTTTTTTGTATTGTCTTAACACATTAAACACTGATGCGCGACACACCCCAACTTTGTGAGAAACCTTCACAACAATTTCTTTGATGGTTGATGCCTCGTTCTCCTCGCGCTCGATCTTATATATATTCAAAATGACCTCTTTCATTTCTGCACTCAGGTGTCTTTTTTTAGAGCGTTTCCTAGGTGGACTACAGGAGTTTACAACTTCATCGGCAGTATCTGTACTACTGGGCATTTTGCGCAAGCAGTTGATAACAATACCAATCAATAACAAGGTATAACAATAACAACGACAAACTCAACAACTTAATAAGATAACAAACGAAAACGTCCAAAGAAATATCAAATTACAATGATGCACACGACATACGTAACACGTCTGAGCCTGAATGTGACTCTGTCTTGATACGACTGCTCTGCCGCTCGGCATAGGCATTTAATTGCGAATTGACCAATGAGGGCTCCTGTTTTACGTCGAGACGGCGGCGTTAGCGTAAAAATCACCCGAACCTTTTGTTTACATCCGGTCTATCTCTTATCTGAATATACTGTAATTCGCAGATTCTCTTCATTCACAATGTCAACCCGTGTTGTCCCCAGGAATCGGTTTCGGCACCAGCACTGTTTCTGTTAGAAATATAATAATTGACTGCTTTGTTTCGTTAATAAATACTCAGTGACATTCGAAGTGTTACACCCAGAAAAAATAATTTCTACAACTTGATTTTTTTTCAATGAGTCATACATCAACAATAAAACGAAAACATTCTCAAGAAATTTTATTGACAAGCAATAAAAAAAATTAATACTGCTGAATACACTCCCATATACGTCTAGGCATCGACACAATGAGATGATCGATGTCTGGTTGTGGCACCTCATTCCAAGAAACTCCAACTTCGTGGATTAGCGGTGGCAGAGTCTGTGGTGGATGGTCGTCCCCATCATATCCCACACATGTTCGATTGGAACGGCAAAACGTTAACGTCGGTAGTACGACAGGCAATATGGGGACGTGCGTTGTCTTGCTGAAAAAGGAGGTGTGGACGACCCTCTAGATACTGCAGTAAAGTGGATTGTAGGACATCATCAAGATAATACGCAGCAGTCATATTGCCTTGAACAAGGAGAAAAGATGATCGGCTACCATACGCAATAGCCCCCAAACCGTCACTGCAACAGTCCTTTGTACATGTCACTCAACAGCAAATCCAATATCACACCGTTCTCCATGGCTGCGTCCCACACTTCTACGATCATCGTAACAGGTCTACTCTCTTATCCAAACCATTGACGCTCTGTGGTACGCCTCGGTGGACCAGTTGGCCTTCATCGTGTTCCTCTACCTTCTTTTATCCACACACGCATCACCGTCATTGCAGTACGATTAACACGGCGGCCAATTTTGCGATAGGATAAACCAACACTTAATCTCGATTTATATTGCTCCTTTCTTTAGTTGAGTGACAGGTTGTTCGATTCTGCTGGAAGAAGATTTCTTTCAGGTTTAGTTGCAGAGTTTTGTTAGCGCAAAGTTGCTTCATAGTGTTCGTAAATTATTACATAGTGTAGAGGGATGTCTTTTAAGTTTTGCATATGGAAATAAAACAACTCGGTAGGTAGTTTTAAATGACTTTAATGTTTTTCGAAGTATTCTCCACGAAGATTAATACACATCTGCATGAGCTCGAGCCAATTTTCGAAGAACTTATTCCACTCGTTGCTGGCAGATCCAAAACGGCATTTTTGAATGCGTCAACTGCTTCTTCTGGTGACTAGAACCTTTAACTACGCAGTCTGTTTTTAATTTCCGGGAAAGTAAAGAAATCGTTAGGACTTAGATCGGGACAATATGGAGGATGGTTCAATAATTCCACGTTTTCTTCCGTTAAATACTGCCTTGTTTTTTGAGCTGTGTGCGAGCTTGCATTGTCTTGGTGGAGGATGATTCTTCATTTGGGGTTGATTTTTCGAAGCTCGGTGATGACTGTTGGCGAACAAATGGTGGTATACAAATCCGTAGTAACAGTTCTTTGCTCATTAAGAGGAATTGTTGCAGTATGACCTGCTTTTGACACAAATATCGTGACCATCTTTTTCGAGTCACTTCGAGAACGGATGACTTTTGTTGCCTATTCTTCACCTTGGAACACCCAAACAGCCGACTGTCGTTTATTTTCTGGTTCATAACAGTAAATCCACGATTCCTCACCACTAACAATGCTGTACACATTTTTTGAGTTTCCAGAATTGAAACGGTCAAGCGTTTTTTAACACCAATTAACCCTGTCAACAGGTGGTGTATCCAACGAGAAACTAGTTTTCTTACTCCTAATTCTTCATGTAAATTTTTTTGAATTGAGGTCATTGAGATCTTCAAGGACGCCTCAATCTCGCGATATGTCACATGTCTATCTTCAATGATGAGTTTGCGCACAGCATCCACGTTTTCCTGGGT